GTGGTAGAAGGGTGAGAGGCGCATGTGGCGCGGTGGCAGAGGTAAGATGGTGGTGGTGCTTACTTTACATCTTTGCCGTTAGGCTGCTGCCTTGCCCCTTCTGCCCGCTCCGAGCTGCTACTCTGTTTTGATCAGTGTTGGGGTTGCTCTCCTCCTACAGGTTTCCCAGACCCAGATTTTCCGGTGCCTGGAGCCTTAGCTGGGGGGAGGGACCAGTTGAGGGGAGGGACCGCGGGAGGTTGGCCAGCCCGGGAGGTTGGCTGTGGGAACGCACTGACGACCACGGGGCAAGTCCTGTGTTGAGTGTCTGCCCCCTGGTGGTCAGTGCACATCATAGCGACTGGTCGACTGGTCATTCTGGTAGTTCGGTCATAACAGTTGCTTAGGCTTTTAGATAGATAGATAGATAGATAGATAGATAGATTATACAGCATGACTCTTGTGAAAGGCTTTTTCACTCAGTGTAATGTTTTTGAGATTCATTCATGTTGATATATGTGTATCAGTAGTGTGTTCCTTTGGGCTGATGAATAATATTCAATTGCACAGATATCACAGTTTATTTACCCATCCTTGTATTGGTGGTCACCTGGGATGGTGCCAACTTTTGGCTTTCTGAACATTCTTGTGCAAGCTTTTTGTGGACCTATATTTTCAATCCCTTAGAAGTGGAATTGTTGGGTCAGAGGATAAGTATATTTTTAATTTTTTTGAGAAATTGTCAAGCAGTTTTCAAAAGTGGTTTTATCATTTTCTATTTCTGCCAGCCATGTATGAGAGCTATAGGTATGTCATATAGGGGTGCTCCTATAGACAAGCAGTCCCATTCCATGTGGGGCAAGTGATTGAGCTCTAGACTAACAATCAGAAGGGCAATAGCTATTCTTACACTAACAACTTTTTTTTTGAGATGTGTTCTATGTCAGGCCCTGGGATAACCACTGAGTGAAACAAGCAGGATTGAGACACAGACCGTGTCTTCAAGAACTCTGAAATGTGCCCAGCAGGCATGGCTCAGTGGTTGAGCGTTGACCTATGAACCAGAAGGTTATAGTTCAATTCCCCGTCAGGGCACATGCCTGGGTTGTTGGCTCAATCCCCAGTGTGGGGCATGCAAGAGGTAGCCGATCAATGATTGTCTCTCATCATTGATGTTTCTCTCTCTCCCTTCCTCTCTGAAGTCAATAAAAATATATTTATTTAAAAACATACTCTGAAATGTGAGACTGGCAAGACAACAACGATAACACAATGTGACAAATGTCGTGATAAAAGCAGGCCCAGGCCAACAGGAGGCGCAGGGGCAGTTAGGAAGGGCTTCCAGGAGGTGACTTTTAATCTGAGTTCTTGAAGGATAAATATAATTCGGCCTCTCTCTGGGTTGAGGGGACATTTGAGTGTATGAGGGTCTTGGAAGAAGAGCTCTTCAGACAACAGGAAAACATGTTCAAGACTTGGAAGGTTTGCTAGAGGTTCAAGAAACTGTAGGTAATTCAGAATCACTAGACTATGGGGTAAGGTTGGCAGGGGCCAACCTGCTAGAATTTGGACTTTAACTTCAAAGCACTGAGGAGCCTCTGAAGGGTTTTAATCAAGGCCATGACTTACTCAGATCTGCATTTGGGAAGGATTCCTCTGGCTGCTGTGGGTGAAAGGGGCTAAGTGGATGTCTGCATGGTAGCTAAGAAGAGGCAAGAGGAAGAATCCTACTGAAGTAATAGCAGAGGGCAAGGAGGGAAGGGGCTGGGTTGATGTCAAGGAGGCAGAAGCAATGGAGTTTATTGTTAACAGATAGAAGGTAAGAGATATAGCAATGCCTCCCACATTTCTGCCTTAGGCAACTGAAGAGTACCTTACTATTTACTGTCATAAGGAAACAGGCAACATTTTACATAATAGTTTTTTCTTATAGGACTTGTGAAGTATTTAACTGGAATAACAGGTAATAAATACAGGAGTCCCCTCTTATCCATGGGGAATAAACTTCAAGGCTCCCAGTGGATGCCCTGATCGGTTTGGCTCTGTGGATAGAGCGTCGGCCTGCGAACTGAAGGGTCCCAGGTTCGATTCCGGTCAAGGGCATGTACCTTGGTTGTGGGCACATCCCTAATGGGAGGTGTGCAGGAGGCAGCTGATCGATGTTTCTCTCTCACCGATGTTTCTGACTCTCTATCCCTCTCCTTTCCTCTCTGTAAAAAATCAATAAAATATATTTTAAAATATATTTTTATCCCCATTAGGGATGTGCCCACAACCAAGGTACATACCCTTGACCGGAATCAAACCTGGGACCTTTCAGTCCATAGGCCGACGCTCTATCCACTGAGCCAAACCGGTTACAGCAATAAAATATATTTTTAAAAAAAGACTCCCAGTGGATGACCAAAACTGTGGGTACCAAACTCCATATACCGCTTTTTTTTCTATACGGTACATATACACCTTTTTAGTTAAAGGAAGACTTTATGGCTTCTCTTTGACATATCTGAATGGCCGGCATCACTACAGTAGTCCTTCCTTAAAGTTGTAGATAGGTTCTGTGACTTTAAGCGAAATGGCATATACCAAAACCAATTTTACCACAGGCTAGTTGACATAAGCACGAGTTAACTTCCTCTGGCACCTGAGCACTGTTACAATGAAAGGATGTTACTTGAGGACCTGCTGTCCTCCTGCGCTTTGGGGCCATTGTTAAGCAAACGGAGGGTTACTTGAGCACAGGCACTGCGCTCCCGGGGGTGATGTGATAACCAGACAGCTACCCAGCGGGGACCGGAGGACAGTGTGCACAATGTGGAGAGGCTGGGCGAGGGGTGGTCATGCTCTGAAGACACACGATTTAAAACTTACCAATTTGTTTCTGGAATTTCCATTTAACATTTTTGGAACGCAGTTGACTGTAGGTAATGGAAACTGGAAAGCAAACCATGGACAAGGTGGGGGACAACTACTGAATACTGTTTTAATCAACTTAAATTAATATTTATTCGTTGTCTTCCCGGAAAGGCTGGGATCGCTTTGTTAATGTTTCCTGAACAAGAAAATGTAATTAATACTAAAACAAGGGACCTGGGAGTGGTCTTTTGGGCTCTTGCAACTACACAGGCCCATAAAAGCTGGAGAAAGAATTAGAAACCAACAAAAAACCTCCTTCCATATATTTAATCAACATTTACTGAGATTTTTTTTTTTTTTTGGATAAGGCCGTGTGCTAGGAGATGGGGATATGAAGGGAAATGACACAAGACTGCTCTCAAGGAGTTTACAATCTAACTTACCTTTGCTCTTGTGTACTGACTGACACTGCAGTGCCTTTTGCAGTTCCGCGCGCAGCCTTCCCCAAGTGGCATAGCACAGTGTAGCTGTCTAACCGCTGGTGTGACTGTACTCCTACAACTTTCCTGCGATGGCTTTGGCAACTGGGGCCAAAGAGCCACAGAGACGTTCCTAACCCTGGATCTGCCTCTGGGAATTTATCTTGAGGAACTATTTGGGCTGTAGACGAGGATTTATGTACAGAGATGTCATTGCTGTTCTAAAGATATAGAGGCTACAACAACCTAACAATGGGAATTGGGAAAATAACTGATGGTGCATCCCTATGATGGACTATTAGGTGATAATTAGAAGTAGTATTTAAAAATAACTTAACGACATGCGGGAAAGACCAGAAAAAAAAGTAGGACACACATCTCTTCTGAAGGTGCTCAAAGTATCCATAATTTAGTATTTTTAGGTTCTCTGTATTTTTCAAATTTTTGACAATGTGAATGTTATAGTATTTCTACAATCAGAACTTTTGGATTTCTTCTTCTTCTTTTTTTTTTTTTTTTCAAATTAGAGACAATAGCAGAGTTAAAGCTAGAAAGACAACCAAAATGACCAAGATTTGGGTTATTCTGTTATGAAGACTGACCAAAATTAACTGAAATTCTACATCTTATATGGTAAAAGTTGCATGAAATGTCAATATGAGTTGCAATATAGTGAGTGCCTACTGTGTGCCAGGTGCCCAGAAGGGTAATTATCTTTATTGTACGGAGGAATGTTTGGTTTCAAATCCTAACCTTTTGTACCATGCTAAATACAAGCAAATTCAAAAAGGTTAATAAGCGATTCACAGACAAACCCTACACAGGATTTTCAACATGTTTAGGGCATTGGAGGTCTGGACTGCTGATAACATTCACAGATCTCCAGTTCAAGAGCGTCTGGCTGTGTCTCTTTTCCTGGAGAATCTGACATCCACAATATACACTCCTTTCATCGCCAGAAACGATGATTGCCTTACGGTTTGCGCGCGCGCGCGCACACACACACACACACACACACACACACACACACACACACACGTTCCCTTCTGGCCCTCATGTTTACCTTCAGAGGGCGCATTTGCTTTATTGCACAAATAAAGGATCTCAGGATAAACATTTGTTCTAATGGACGACAAGCCTCAGCTCACACGACTTCCAGAGCTTCTGCATGTCAGCGAAACGTGCCCCGCCCCGCAAGCATACCCTCCGCCCGCCGCCGTTCGGGCGCAGGATCTACTCCCAGGCAGCGCGGGCTCCACTCCCGTGTCTAACCGCATCCCAGTGGTTCCCCCAGAGGGACCGGCAGGGTCCAGGCCCGGGCGGCCTGACCTTGGGCCATCTCGGGCCGCGGACTCGCGGGTGACCTTGGTCCGGCTCCCGCCTCCCTCCCGCAAAGCCGCGGGGCTGGACAGCAGCGTCCGCACCCGGGCCGTTGCTCGGCCGCGCCGCGAAGCCCGGCGCCAGCATCCTCTCCTCCGCGGAGCTCTCCGCGCGCCCCACCCGCCCCGCCCCTCCGCCGCGGGCGCTCCTTCCCGACGCTCGTTTACGCCGCGCGCACTGGGCGGGCGCGATTCCCGAACGCAGCCTCCGCCGCGAGCGCGTGGCCGCCCCGCAGGCCGGCGCCGCCTTACGCCGCTGACGCAGCGCGCCCAAGATGGCGGCGCGGTCGTCGTCGGGGGTGGCGGCAGCAGTGGGGGCGGCGGCCGTGGCGGCAGCTGGGACGACAGCCGTGACGGCGGCGGCGGCGCGGGGCCTGGGCCGGGGGGAATGAGGAGGCCGCGGCGGGCCAGCGGCGGAGCCGTGTAGCGGAGGAGCCGCCCCCCCTCTCCGCGTCCCTTGGCCGAGCCGGGGGCGCGCGCGCGCGGCCGTCCGCAGCGGGCTTCCCACCCTCTACTCCCGCGACCCGCACCGCACCCCCACCCGGGCCGGAGGATGATGAAGCTCAAGTCGAACCAGACCCGCACCTATGACGGCGACGGCTACAAGAAGCGGGCCGCGTGCCTGTGTTTCCGCAGCGAGAGCGAGGAGGAGGTGAGGCGCCGGCTGGGGGTCGCGGGGGTCGGCGGCCGCCTCCCGGGGGGCGGGGGGGGGGCGAGGGAGGCGCGGCCGTCGGGGGACGGTGTGTCCGGACTCCGGGCGGGACGGTGGGCTCGACCCAAATGAAGTTCCGACGGGATTTCCTGAGGCGAAGAAGGGGAAGGAAAGAGGATGGTGGGCGGGGGGGAAGGGGGTCGGAGCCCGGCCCTTCGGCGCGCGCCGGGCGGAAGGCGGTGCCCGGCCCTGTCAGTGGAGAGCGGGGCGCGGGGAGCGGGCAGTGGCCGGGGAGAGAGTGTGGTGGCCGGTCAGCCGCTGGCTTGCGATCCGGGAGGGGCAGCTCCGCACTTGTCAGCCCGGCACATGTGTGCGGAGGCCGCGGGGCACGGGCGCGGGCCGCCCCTTTGTGGCCGAGAAATCGCTTCCTTGGCAGGTTGGGGGTTCGGAAGGGATTATGGGGGGCGGGGGGCAGGGGGGTGTCTTAGTAAGATTCAGGGCGCATGCCAAAGCCAGTTGTTTATTTTATAATGCTCCGGGCAGCCCTTTTGGTGTAACCCGAGAGGAAAGGGTGTTTGCTGAGATGATCTTGGAGAGTTGAAAAATGTTCATTTTGATTGGGAGGCCACAAGCGGTATTTAAGATCTGTGCCCTGACACTCCTCCGCTGCTCTGTCTCAAGGCCCTTGGGAGTACAGTTGCTAGCAAAACAGAAATGCCTGGAATCAGTTTCTTTTTGCATAAGGTACTTAAAAAAGAAATCTCAGCCTCTCGGAGCCGTTTCTGGGGTGATAAAGAGAATTGGGAAGAGGAGCGTGTCTCGGAAATCCACAGAGAAAAGCGCTTTGGAAATTCATGCGGTGCCGGTGGGGATGCGTTTCTCTCATGCGCGTGGTGGTAAAATGGCAGTTAAACTGGAAACAATGCAGGACAGTGACATTCAGTATGTTACAGTCCCGCATGCAGCAGTGGGCAGTGGGGAAAACAGTGCATCGTGTTGAAATGGGGGGAAAGGAACTTGACCCGTTAGTTGTGAAAAGAAGCTGTGATGAAAGAGACCGATGGATTGGCAGAAGTGCCTGTCCAGAGATATTTAGGGGGAAGTGGGAATTTAAATTACTGCCTGGGGGTGGGGAGGGACACTAACTGTGCTGTTGAGGAATGGTGTGTGTTCCCTTTTAGCAAAACAGAAGGAAGTGGATTTGGAAATGTATAGTTTGTGTCCTAGCGTGTGTTGTAAAAATCCCCCAAACAGATGTATTACAATAAGAGTCCTAAGCAGGGCCATGCTGTAAATTATGTACTGTTTTGGAATACAGACTTGAGTAAAGTAAAATTATTGGTGGTGTTTACTGTTCCAAAGGCTTTATTGTCTTCATTATTATATCATACTGGAGGCCCCGTGCACGAATTTTGTGCGGGGGTGGGGGGGGCGGTGTCCCTCAGCCCCGCCTGTGCCTCGCACAGTCCTGACCCTTTGGGGGATGACCGCCACTGCTGCTGTGTTCACCAGCCAGCAGCCATGAGCCCGGCTTCAGGCGGAGGAGCACTTCCCCTGTGGGAGCGCACTGACCACCAGGGAGCAGCTCCTGCATTGAGTGTCTGCCCCCTGGCCGTCAGTGAGCATCATAGCAACTGGCTGTTCTGCTGCTGTTTGGTCAATTTGCATATTAGGGTTTTATTATATAGGAGGATTATGGGAAATCATATGGGATCACAAGCTGTTAACTGGATGGAAAACTAATTAGCATAACAACATATCTCACGACACTACTATGGTTAAGTCTGTGGGCACCCCAATTATAAGTGGAAGGGTATATAATTTAGTTGTATGAATGATGCAAGACTTTGTTTTAAAATGTCATACTAGAAATTGAAAATGTGACCATTTTGGATACATTGGAAATCCTTTATAGATCATAAGCAAACAAAGATTTGATTTTCTGTTAAAGTTTTGTTATTTACTGACAGTAGCATTAATGTTAATAGATTTGACCGATCATGGAGTTTCCTCTACTGAATTTCTTTTTCTTTTTTAAAATCTTTTGTTGTTGTTCTACTGACTTTCTTTTTGAATATTGGTTAGTGAGCAGAAGATTAATGCAGATCTTTACAGATTCAGTGGATGTTGCACCTAACACCCAGGAAGAGCAAGAAGATGAATGAAATGAGCCCATTTTAGACTGGTGCAGTTCACTTAAACAAGCATGTATTAAGAGCCTACTATGGGTGCGACACTCTGTAATGTGGGATCAACATCCCTTCCTGCCCCAAAATATGAGTAGTTTTTGATAGGATCCCTTAATTGGGAGAGATTTTAGACAAGAAATGATCTCTAGGGTTCTGCTCAACTTTCAGGTTATACAATTGTGTTGGATGGGAAGAATTTGTTAGTTCCAGGAGAACTTTTATATTCTCAATAGAAGTACTAGAAACTGGAAGTGTTAGCTGCCACATTGTGGGAATTTGAAATTCCAATTCAATAGGACATTCAACCCATTTTTATCTTATTATATTTTAAATATATATTTTTATTGATTTCTGAGAGGAAGGGAGAGGGAGAGAGATGGAAACATCAGTGATGAGAGAGAATCATTGATCAGCTGCCTCCTGCACATCCCCTGCTGGGAATTGAGCCTGCAACCCAGTATGTGCCCTGACCAGGAATTGAACCTGGGACCCTTCAAGTCCCCAGGCTGAGGCTCAACCACTGAGCCAAACCGGCTAGGGCCATTTTTATTTTTTAATGGACACTAATGATTTTAATCAAGATAGAATAGTTTAGCCCTGGCCAGGTAGCTCAATTCATTAGAGTGTAGTTCCAATAGACCAAGGTTTTTCAGGATTCATCTCTGGTCAGGGCATATAGAAGGGTTAACCAATGAATGCAGCATAAATGGGTGGAACAATGAATCGATGTCTCTTCCTCTCTCTTTCAAATCAATCAATAAAAAAATAAAAAGATTAGTTTACAGAATATTATTAGCATTAATACAGTAGTAGTATAAGTATAAATAGGGGGGGAAAAAAGGATAAATAGGGCCCTGATTTAATTTAATTAACCAGTATCAGGAAATATACATACAGTGTAACGAAAAAGAGATGAAAAATATTAGCAAATAATAGACCATGAATCAAACTTTCTAACATTCTGTTTTATCCGCCCTAGAAAATTTATTTATAGGCCTACTGAAATACTGATTCAGTATTTCAGGATGTGTGAACATATTCAGCAAGTTTGTTAAGTGTCAGGTTCTGTGATACAGTTATGAAGGCCACAGACGTGCAGGGAGCTTAGAGTCTAGTGGGAGAGATGGAAGAGCAGATAGGCCCAACAACATGATGAAAACGAATTTCCTTTCCTTCAAACCTAAACAAGAAATCCAAAGCAGGAAAATGTCCCCTCTTACAAATTTTACTAATTGTGATTGACATTTTGATAAATTAAAATCTTTAAGTTTGGGGTGTTCATGATAAGTAACTTTTATTACAATACTTTGAATCTGATGTACAGTGAACATTTTCTTACCCAGTCTATGCTTTAACCAGCTTGGTGCACTGAACACTCACTGTTACTGTGTGAATTATGGGTCTGATATATCTTGACCTTGTGGCCTCCCAACTAATCTGTGTTTACAAAGAATCAGCTATGGGTTTGTTCTTAATCTTTATTGTTGAAAGTATTACATATGTCCCCCTTTTCCCCCCATTGACCTCCTCCAGCCTGTCCCCGCCTCCCTGTGTGTTGCTTTTTTGTTGTTGTTATTAATCCTCACCAGAGGATATTTTTTTCCAGTGATTTTTAGAGAGTGTGGAAGGGAGGGAGAGAGAGAGAGAGAGAGAGAGAGAGAGCGAGAGAGAGCGAAACACATTGATGTAAGAGAGACACATCGATGGGTTGCCTCTCACATGCATCCAATCAGGGCCTGGGATTGAACCTGCGACCCAGGTATGTGCCCTTAACCTGGAATTAACCCGTGATCCTTAGGTCCATGGGCTGACACTCCAACCACTAAGCCACACCAGCCAGGGCAGGAGACAGTTGTATAGTATATTTCCGTATCTGTTCATGTTCATGGTACTTGTTATTGTAATTATCTAGTGTAATTAAATTTGACATAAGCCAGTGAAATTTGAATTAAAGGATGGTTTTGTGAGCTTTTCAAATGCTTTGGAATGATTAGATAATTTCAAGTCACTAAGAGAAATTACTGCTCAATTATATGGATAAACAAACTGAAAAAGATGGGGAGGGAGTCGTCTAAAAGGACTCTGTGCATCACTTCATGACTGTTTTCAGGTTTTTGTATATATATTGAAAACATAGGTCATGCACAATGGATGTGGAATATGAAAGACAGACAACTTGTAATTCAACAGTACACCCACACTCAAGATAAAATCTTGGACCTACAAACAAAGGTTGGCAAATAAATATGCATTTATATAATATATGTTTTAATCCTCACCAAGGATATGTTTTTTAAATTGATTTTTAGAGAGAGAGGAAAGGAGAGAGAGAAACATCAGTGTGAGAGAGATAGTTGCTTCCTGTACACGCCCCAACCAGGGATCGAACTGGCAACCCTGACATGTGCTCTGACTGGGAATTAAACCTGCAACCTTTCGGTGCACAGGACGATGCCCGCCAACTGAGCCACACAGGCCAGGGCTACATTTATATTTTTAACCTGCCATATCTTCTAATTAATATTTTATCACAAACAATATAGAAGGCAGACTTCTTAAGTAAGAATTTTTTGCACTTGATTAGGTAATATGACAGTTCATTTTTGTCAAATTATTCAACTTCGGCCTCCCTAAAGCACTTCTTTCCATTTTTGGAGCTTTTGTGATGGCAGGAAGTGAGAGACATTGGGGGTGGGCTTGCCTATACTCTGTACCCTTCCCAGAATGGAGTGGGAGAGTATAACATAGGCATTTTAGTCAGTTGAAATGTCTAGCAAGTGAAATACTCACTTAGACAGGTCAATGATATAG